ATATGGATATACGATTGCCATGTATCCTGTACTAGTATAGCATCACCCCTGAAAGCTCCCCAATCCCTACGATCCCCATCCACACCCAGTAACATGGCACAAAAAAAGAGGCAAAACATGAAGGGGTACTCCCTCCTTTCCCACATCCTTTCAGATCCTCACCCAACTACCGAGAACCATTGCCGATGATCCACGCTGGGGGGTCACCTAGGTAGAGAATTGATTCCGGCCCCTCCGGTGTGACAAATAAGGGAGTGTATTACAGACCCTATGGTGCTGGGAGAGGCAACCCCAATGTTCTGGAGTAAAGGTCAATTGTTCCGGTTCTCATTATACCTTGTGTTGGGCCCCGGGGGTTTACACCTCTGTTTGGGTTCGGGATAATTAGTGAATGTTAATGATAGAGTAAAAAATTCACAGGTGGTTATTGGTGAGTGTTCACCATAGGGATTGAATCGGGTAGCTATGATGGGAATTTTCAGCCTCTCTTTCCATTTTCCCCTTGCCTCTTCCGTATGTCAACGCTGTATTTACATTTATGTTGATCATCCTTTCCCGCATATGGGTTCGGGCGTCGTCAATTTTCATCGTTCCTGGGCTATGTCGCTCTCTCCTACGAACGCTACATGCACTGTAACTTGTTTTGAGTACTCCTTTACCCTGCCCGTGACTACTCAAGAGATGACGGTTCGACCATGGCCTTGTGAGACCTACCCCAGTAGATGGAACTTAAGGCGCCACAGTTGGAAATCGTACTATACCCTGGGTCCATTTCTAGGCTGGCCAAAAACTTGTCTTATATACGAGAGTTTGGTAATTACCTCATTCGATTGCTGTTATTACCACCTACCTCTCTTTTGCTCTTCAGCCCGGGTTACATCATCCACCTATAATACTCACCCGAATTCAACCATTGCATATCAGTACTCCACGCATCCGCCAGTCCATCACTACGCCTGTAGAAGACTGGATTTGAGGAGCCGAATATCCTGCCACTCACGGCCAGAATTAGAGAAGAGACCAACAGCAATTACAAACATGCAGAGCCTTGTCGAGGATATCTGTGTCTCATTATTACTCACAAACCCTAACCCTACCCAACGACAAATAACGCCTTGCTGCAGACTTACCAGAGCTTTGTGCAGGCACCGATGCGGGTTTATGAGTTCGTATTTATGCGCAGTATGTCGGCCCTATATGGAATGTATATGATTGCTTTTTTACTATGTAAATAGGCACAGCTCACCGCTACTAGATAGTGACTAACCATTAACCATCTTCGATGACAGGTTGTGTCTTAGCGCCGGGGGATACCATGGACTTCTTCTAAGGGGCCGGGGCATAACAGTTTGCCAAGTGTGAGCACAGGAGGGGTGGTTGATTCCCATAGTTGGAGGTAGAGTATGCCAAGGCCCTTGGCCATTATGATGTTATTCGGGAGGGTTGCTTGCGGAGCCCCTCTCACTCCTTTCTTGCACCTAGTATGATGATAGTGAGTGGGGATCCACTGATGATGTGCAAAGAGCGGTGGGGCGGTTGAAGGCTCGGCCGGGGCGCTAAAAGGATGTTTTGTGCTTGTGATATTATGGATAGGTATGGGTTCCGGGAGGAAGAACTCGTTTGTAGTTGGTTTATTCTGGGGTGTACCCACAGAGCGATCTGAATATCACTCATGCGGTTAGGGAATAATTACCACCCGGCTTTTCGGTCTTGTGAAAAAAAAAAAAAAATCACAGTCCACCAATGGACGATTATGTAGTCCATTTAGCTATTTTCAACAGCTAAATTTCATGTACCATCCCATTCTTGTGTGTATAAAAATTTCAGTTTAGCTCCGGAGTCATCTTGAATAGATGCTGAATTTCATAAAATGACTGTGGCTCCTATATTTCATTCATGGGTGTCGAGATTGGAAGAACTACCCCCCAAATTGTTTGAAGCTTATGCCCCAATAAAAAGCAGAATATTTACCAACATAGACGATCGCTAGAAGCCTTAATTACAGGAATCTCTCATTTATGAACTGACCTCCCGATAGGCGAGGGTGAGGGCTTGAAGAATATGCATAACCGGTAGCCAAAATTTCTTGTCATGAAGGACAAGTCTAATTGCGCTGATGGCACTACATATATCTGTGTGGAGGGTAGTGGTGCTGTTACCTCGCCTCCGAACACTTAATTATCAATATGCTAGTCGACCGTCCATGCCGGCAAAGTAGTAAATCTAGCGGAAAAATTGAAATAGATAGTCCAGCACCTTCTATCTACCTTTGGCTTCAAAAATTGCTGTCACCCGGTTTGGCGAAGGTTCTACAACAATTGAACAAGTTAGAAAGAATTTCCCACTAAACTAAATTCAAAGGCAGAACCTGGTCCAAGCTTCGCTTCATAGGTTCACCTCCGCCAACACCAAATATCACTGTGTACTGCTGATACAGTGTCCCTGATCCCTACCACCCGGGCATGCTCAACGGGGTTCAAGTCTGAAGAATGGGGGGATATGCGAGCTGTTTTTGATGGACGCTGGGAAGAGCATTTAAGGATGAATGGGTGAGAGTGTTATTATAGTGGGCTAAGTACAGGACCCGAAAGGATGGTGAACTGCTGTGGAAACTCCAAAAATCCGCCCAAGTGTTGCACCGTTGGTGCGGCCCCCCCTGTTGAGGTCTGGTGCATTTTGTCCACTTTCTATGTCTCACTGAGGGCGTAACAGCTCACCTTTTGGTGTGTTTTTCAACCCTTTTCCAGAGCAGGGTATTTTCGACCACATGGTGCATGGCCAGATTATTGAAGATTCTACAGTACACCCTCAATAGAAAAACGCTAGCCAAGGATTTCCGGGGGAGATATGTCCCCGCTCAAATAGTAGCTCCAGGGATTAGGCAGATCACAACGAACTCTAAGGAAATGCACCATCCAGAAATATCATGATCCTCCATCATCTCAAACCATCGAACCAGGAAACCTATGCCATCTATCCTATGCTAACCGGCACAGAAGGCTGACTATAAATTAAACTGAATACCGGGTGCCTGTGGGGCGGCCGGCGCGCCACGATTTCCATCTTAAATCACGTTTTTGGCTATGTTAAATTTCATGTTAAACCTTAAAAGCACGATAGTCATAAGGAGAGAGTTCAAGATCGCCCCAAGCCAAACATTGCTAATTCCGTTCTGATCGTCGTTACAAGTACTGCACAAGTACGTTCCCCTGGCTCTACCATTTTACCGGTATTTTATTTTGAATAAATAATCTACTTTTCGACTCGGGAAATCTTGGCACTCTTGACCGGTACCGCATTCACTTACTCAATTGGTCATCACGCGCTAGGACGTTGGGATTGCCTCTCCCAGTAAGGTCGCGCGTGTTTTTCTTCTTAGTCTCAGCTGCGGGCCGAATGACAGCTATTTTTCACTTTGCCTCACCCCTGATCCACCGGAGGAAATCCTGGATGTCGCGTGATGTCCAATTGAGTAAGTTAATCCGACAGGCCTGGCAAACGCCAAGGATTTCCGGATGCAAGTACTCTTAGAATCCCAAGCAGATATTGGTCCGGTAAACCTCATTGAAGTTAAAAACTCAATTCATGACATATTTTAAACCCACAGTTTCCTTTCAGCGCTGCAAACGCCTTCTGATCTGAAAACGTGATTTGGGAGGGAATCCCGATTTCAATTCGTAATCGCGGCCCCCCAAACGCCCCGCTGCTACATGGTGACAGCAATCAACAGAACAAGGCTGGCACTAGTACAGTGCAGGGACAACAACTGCTACTGTGAGTCTAACCATCACACGCCTTATAGCCACGTACCCCATAATCGCATATTCAACCTGCATGCCCTCTCGGTAGTCCGACAATTGCTAGTGGTAGGGTAGCAGTAGCAGGTGCAGTGAATAAGCAGGTAATATTGGGGCTAATTATTTTGTTCGGGAGATGAAGATGATCGAACTGCACATGCACCACAAGCAGATGTTCTGCTGTCTAACGTGCAACAAACTCTTTTTGTTCGCAGGTTGGCTTGGAGCTATTTGGTCTCATCATTGCGATGGTGATAAAAAACTAAGCAGCTCAAGCTCTAACAATTGTATTACCAAATTTCGATGTATATTTTTAATCAACACTCAGCTGACGAATTTTTCAAAATGGCTGGCTCGGCTTAAGCACTTGCAGTGCCCGCCGCCGCAAAGGAAGCTAGGTGACTGCACCCCCATGGGTGTGCCGGACAGCTCGGTTTGCTGATATCCGATGGGAAATAGAGCCAACTCAACACCGATTTTATTGACTACAAGCTTATAGAATTCAGGAAAGGTTCACATGCTTCTCCATGTTACTCATTTTTGGCAGCCGTTTTTCTCCTCGGCTTCCACTATTAAATCACGGGGTACAGGAATTTGGGGAGAGAGGGCCTAGGGGCGTACATCGAGGGCTAGACTAGACTGAGAAGACTGCTGAAAGAAAGTGGCAAAGCATGGCAAAACCAAATATCAAACTGGGAAAGTAGGGTGGAGAGAGAGGCGAACAGGATCCGTGAATTTTATACGCCCCCAATTGGCTGAATTGGTGGCTTTTTCACATATATTTCCTGTCTGATATCAGTAAATTTTCTTCGTTGAGATTCCGAGCACTAGATTGGGGGTGTAGTCAACTTGGACGGTAGGTTGGCATTCCCGGCAGTGGCAGCAGCCGTGGCCCGGTGGTGTCGTCGAAAAACGCCCGTTGGTGGTCAGGATCGAGCAGGCTTGGAAGGCTAGGAGGTGGGGCAGAGACATTAGGATGGTATCGTAGGTTTTACCAACTCAAGATGCATAAGGTATTATATGAGTACAAATCTAGCACTTTTATCTCAGCCTAGTAGATGGTATTTGAGGGAGCTGAGAACCCAAGCACCGGTACCATACCCCTCTCCCACTATCAGGACTAGTCCCTTCAGAAAAACTATGCTCCTCGTGCTATTCCTCCTCCTTCCAATCCCAACCATGGCTGCGGAGTCATACCCCCCTCCAACTATGAGGACTAAGTTAGTCCCTTCAGGAAACGCTATACTACTCATGCTACTTATGCTATTCCTCCTCCTTCTGATCCCAATCGTGGCTGCAGAGGAAAGCATTTATCACTGCGGTGATCGCATTAAGGAGCTTGCAACAAACGGTTCCCTTCCCGAGGAAGATATCTACTGGGGGGCTGTAGATGGTCTCCCAAGTAAGGCCGAATATCCAGTTCTCCTCCTAACGTTCGCCGCATGCGAGAAGCACTGCGGTAGCGGTTCCACGTTGCACCCCTGGGAAACAACTGCGGATACGGTCACGACCTGGGTACTCCCGCTGGTGGGCCTCGTTCTGCAGGCCCCTTTCGAGAGCAACAACTTCCGGGGAACCATGTTGCTTGTGTTCAGGTGGCTGGGTTCGCCGATCGTTTCTATGATGTACATTTTCTGGAACATCAGAGTTACCAGGAAGTGTGCCATCATGGCTGACATGAGCGTCGGGATGGGCGACCACCCTCGGCCACCAAGCGGTTTTTCCGGATTGCGGGACTCGCTTTACCTGCTGAGCGTGGTCAACCAATACCAGCTCAATATATGGCCCGGGCTACGAGAACAAGACATGGAGTATATCCTTCGCGTAGGCTTGTTCGACACGGGGCCCGAATTCCAGGAAATGAGGGGCAGAGTCGCTACAAACATCCGCCGGGAACGCCGTCGGGGAACCGTCCAAGCCCTAGTATCGCTAGGGTGGTTTCTAGTTGCATTGGGCATCTCGATAAACAAGGCCTTCGGGGATCTAGGCGAGGACTCATCCGCTTCCAATCTCGCGCTCGGCCTTCTGGTGTGTTGGCTCCCGGTTCTCGTCGCCGCGGCAATAGTGGACCGGAACCCAATGGACGCCGGCGACGTTAGCGCCAAGTTGAACGAGTGCCTCCGAAGCATTGTGATGGCAATACCCCGGGAGCTTTACATACCCCAGGGAGTCACCGGAAATGAAATTTTAGGAGGATTTGCGGGCCAAGGCCGCGTCCATTGGCACTGCGGTGCTGCCTCCTCAATTCTCTGCACCCTGGAGGGTTTGCCTGATATGGGGCGCGGGTGGTTAGATATATATGAAAACGACCACGAACTGGTGACTGCGAGAATCCCTCCTCTCTTGAGACGCTTGAGGTGCCGCCATATCCAAGGATGGCAGACGATAGCCCCCAGCCAAAGATGGCAGATGATAGCCTCCAGCCAAGGATGGCAGATGACAGCCTCCTTCACACTGGTCTGCTCCTGCATTATTGGTGCCTTCATCCTTAGCTACTTTACGCCGACCGTCGGCCTGGGCTGCCGCTCTGCTGGTTACATGATCTTTGGCCTCAACTCCTTTGTCTGCCTATTTATAGAAATAGGTGCATGGGTATTCCTACCGATGGGCCGGAGACGGGAAGCAGCGCGGTGGTTCCTGCGCCTCTGTGAATTCACAAACTTTTGCTGGCTCATGTACATCATCACGGCGCAGACACGTGGGACCTACAATAACTGCCGCTGCAAGTCGAGTGTTTGGGGCGGCGGCGGGTATGTTGACTTTGAGAGTGTGGAATACCACAAGGCCTTCCACCTTGAGCACAGCTGGCTTGTGGGCACACTCATCACATGCATAGTGTCGGGCATCGGAATTCTGTACATTGTAGAACAATGGTGCTCACAGAGCTTCCTGTGGACGCAAGATTGGGGCTCGGCTATGAATGGGCTCCAGTGGGTGAGGAGGTGGAAGTGGGCCACTGCCGGGCCTAGGTGGGTGGGCTCCCTGGTAGCCAAGCGCATGGTGAGGGCTGGGGGCTGGGTTGATACTGTTCTGGGGTTGGAGAGCAGTGTGGAGGATCATAGCTTGTATTGGACTTCATGAGATTTCTCTTTTATATTATATTAAAGTCCTCTTTAGCGTACCAATAAATGGGAAAACACTATCTTTTCCAGAAAATGTCCTAATCAGTGTTCGGAATGCCACAAAAACCTTGGTGTTCCACCCTTATGGGGAAGCCAGAGTAGACATGCACTTAGCAAAATTGTGACTAGATAATTGAGCTCCCTAAACCGTCACCAATCCCCCGGTAACCTTTGCGAATTTTTTTGCGAAACTCTGCAGTAACATAATGAAGCCTACACCCATATCCACCCTGGATCCCGGTACATCCGAGATAATGCCGATTATCCTGGACGCAGAGCTGAGTCCGTGACAGTGAGAACTGTTCCCCGGAGCCTTCGAGGGATTACCGGCAACCCCCTCCCTGACCTGATACTTTTTAGAGAAATTTTCTGTCCTGGAAGCGCGGGTTTTTATTCCATATCGGTGTTCCTCGTAAATTTCACGGACCGAGAGTGTTATTTACGTGATATCGTCTGTCGAGTGCTAATTTTCTGAATATCTTATGATATACCCCGGGTGCTCCAGTTCTCACACGCAAGGTGCGCTCTCTCGTACACTAATAACACCGTGGGGAAAAAAGAAGAAGAGATGTTTGTGTTCTCTCTTAATTAGTTTGAAGCTGATTAGTTACCCGATAGTATACCGGTAGGGCGGGACAGCAAAACCAAGCCAAACACCAGACACCCGACGTGCGCCCGCAACTGATATAAATGAGGAGAAACCGCACTACCGGTCTAGGCAAATGGCACTGGTATCAAGACCGCCGCCCATAGCTACACTCCTCACACCTAGATACGATACCCCATTCTAGCAGGTGATCAGAGACAGCCATCCTCTGAAAGCCAACTGCACTCCAGTTGCTGAAACACGCTTCGGAATTATCAATACAACGCATCTTTCGAACCCCCGTCAATAGGCTTACGGTGCTTGGGTGGACATTCCCAGCGACTTAAAATTTTGCACTTCGGGGGTCCAGAAAGTCAAGGAACAAAACTAAGGTGATTCACCTGCCACTACCGGTAGTACGGGTACCCCGAAAAAAATAGGGAATGGTTGGTTTAGGATAACCGTAGCATACCGGTATAGTGCTCGTTCCTGCGCGAAGATATTCTCCCCCGGCACTCGGGCGTTGGAATAAAGTTACAGTACCGAATCGGTGAAACAACCCTACAAAAGACAGATACCCATTTTTAGTCGGAAAGAATTAGCGAAACTCCCTTGCCAAATTGGACCGATTATTAATACAGAAGAAACGCTTGTTTTAACATCAGTGGAGTGCTAGCCGTGCCAAGGAGTGCCACATTTTTCGATGGTCACTTGGGGGCTTTCAAAGTTCCGGGGACCTTGGCGCGGCTATTGGTTGACACATGCTGTGGACCATGTGGGTCCTGAACAAGGCACCCTCATCGAGGAGCGGCACGGCTTGGCTTTCTACAATCGTTGACCACAGGCAGCCTTTGCTGCCAAATATCGCCAAGCCCCGCAGAAGGTGCCGTCTCGCTAGGGAGCTCAATTCCCATCTTTGGGTACGGGTACAAGTATGGCTTAGGGGAATGACCCCGGGAAAAGCAGGCATTCTGCCCTCCGCCGAGAGAAACAAAGTGGGGTAAAAATCCAATCGACCGTTGGAGGGGGGGAAGTCAACGCCCCCGCGTGTTGGTCAACCGTTCTAGATTCTATGACACCGCATTTTTCCCCGAAGGCTCGTCCTTCTGCCTAGTCAGTAGTCACAAGTCGGATCTTGAAACTCAGGTGAGAAAGGCCCCTGACACCGATCGCTGGTCCCCGTAATAAGAGTTTAATTGGTGTTAATGCCATCTCTTTGGTGCCTTTCGGGCTGAAGCCACCGGATGGGTGGACACGGTAGTCTGGGGAGCCTCTGGTGTGACAATTACGGGAGTGTACTACAGGCCCTATGATACTAGGATAGGCAACACCAATGTCCCGGTTCTCACTATGCCCTACTTTGGGCCCCGGGGTTTTACCCCTCTGTTTGGGTTTGCGATAGTACTATAGTAAATGTGAAGGATAGGGTAAAAAATTCCCAGGTGATCATCGGTGAATTTTCGCCATAAGTATTGAATCCGGTTTAAAAATTCCATTTTGATAATGCCGTGGTCGAAATCATGGGAGGGGTAACATGATCGATGGGGCAGAAAAGGCAGCAATCTCATGTATGTCGCCTGCTAATACAACTGCTAAAGATATACCGGTGGTTCTCTTACCTTGTCAGGGAACACTTAACTATCAATGTCAGTCGACCGTCATTAGCGGCAAAGCAGTAAATGTAGGGAAAAATTTAAAACTGATAGTTCGGTATTTGCCATCCACTTCGGGCTTCAAGAATTGCTGTCACCTGATTTGGCAAAGGTTCTACAACTATTGAACAAGTTAGAAAGGATTTCCCACTAAACTAAACTCGAAGGCAGAACCCTGTCCAGCCTTCCCTCTACAGGCTCACCCCCGCCAGTACCAAACATCACTGTGCACTGCTGATAGAGGGATTTCTGATCTCTCCTACCCGGGAATGCTCAATGGGTTCAAGTCTGGAGAATAGGAGAGCCATGCGAGCTGTTTCTGATGGGCCCTAGGGACAGCAGGTAAGGATGAATCGGTGACGGTGCTATTATATTGGGCTAAGCACCGGACCCGGAAGGATGGTTAATTGCTGTGGAAAACTCCAACAGTATGCGGAAATTTTGTGCCGTTGGGGTGCCCCCCTGGTGAGGTCTGGTGTATTTTGTCTATTTCCTATGTCTCGCCGGGGGCTCAGCAGCTCGCCTTTTGGTGTGTTTTTCGACCCTTTTCCAGAGCCGGGAATTTCGACCACATGGCGCACGGCCAGATTATTGAAGCTTCTACGGTACACCCTCGATAGAAATGCTAGCCAAGGACTACCGGGGGATATATATCCCCGCCCGGGTAGTAACTCCAGGTTTAAAAAAAACAGAGCTCAACGAACTCTAAGGAAACACACCCTGCAGAAATATCATGCCCCTCCATCATCTCAAGCCATCGAACCATGAAACTGATGTCATCTGTCTATGCCGACCGGCATAACTTAGAAGGCAGACGACACATTAAACTGAATACCGGGTACCTGTAGGGTCACCAGCACAGCACGATTTCCATCTTGAATCGCGTTTTTGGTTATTTTAAATTGCATGTTGACCCTTAAAATTATGATAGTCATAAGGAGTGGGCTCTAGATCGCTAACCCAAACATTGCTAATTCCCTTCTGATCGTCGTTACAAGTATTTTCTCTTGGCTTTACCCTATTGTATTTTGTATTAATAATCTACTTTTCCGCCCCAGGTATCCGGAAACCTTGGCACGCTTTACCAGTACCGCGTTAACCTCAATTGGACACCACACGCTAGGACGCCCGAGTCGCCTCTCCCAGTAAGGTTGTGCGTGCTTTTCTTCCTATTTGTCTCAGCTGGGGGCTGAATGGCAGCTATTTTTCACTGTGCGTCGCCCCCAACCCACCGGAGAAAATCCTAGATATCTTAGCGTGATGTCCAATTGAGTGAGGTAATCCGGTAGCCTAGCAAACGCCAAGATTTCCGGATGCGAGTACTCCTAGAATCGCAAGCAGATATTAGTCCAGTAAAGACCTCATTGAAGTTAAAAACTCAATTCATGCCATATTTTAAACGCACAGTTTCCTTTCAGCGCTGCAAGAGCCTTCTGATCTGAAAAGGTGATTTGGAAGGGAATCTCGATTTCAATTCGTAATCGCGGCGCCCCAAACGCCCGCTGGTACCGGATAGTGGCAACAATCAACGGACCAAGGCTGACACTAGTACAGTGCAGGGGCAACAGCTGCTACTGTGAGTCTAATCATCGCACGCCTTATAGCCACGTGCCCCACAATCGCACATTCAACCTGCATGCCATGTCGGTGATCCGACAATTGCTAGTTGCCGGGTAGCAGTAGCAGGTGCAGTGAATAAGCTGGTAATATTGCGACTAATCATTTTGTTCAGGAGATGGAAAAGATCGAGGAGCCTGAGAACTGCAAGTAGACATTCTGTTGCCTACTATGCAACAAACTCTTTACGTTCGCAGGTTGGTTTGGACCTATTTGGCCTGATTATTTCAATAGCGAAGTCGATTTGAGTTGGTAAACTTCTAATAATAGTATTGTAAAATTTCGTTGTATGTTTTTAATCGACGCTTAGCTGACGAGGCTTTCACATTGATTGGCTCGGCTTAAGCACTAGACGTACCAAGGTTCCTCCTACCACTCCAAAGTACAGTCGCACCTCGCTATCCCGGATCCCGCTGAACCGGAAAGAGGCAGGATTCAGATTCGTATGATATTTGAGAAATGGCACCCCTGGTCCCCATAGAAAGTTGATCTGTTGAACCGGATCCCAAGATAACTGTTCAATAAACTAAGCCAAATGAGGAAAGAAGGCGGGGTTAGAAAGATAGTTAGAAGTGAAGAGAAAAAAGGAAGAAGACTCCAGGAGGGTAGGGAGATTCCAATACATATACCTAGACACTATAGATAGAGAATTCATTTTCGAAGTAGAAAGTTGTCTGCGCTCCTCAAGCCAGTTTGATAATGCCTACAACAAAGTCAACAAAGAAGACCGGATTAACCGTCTTGCAAAAGTACGAACTATGCTGCCTTCGAGCACGACATCCGCAAATGAAGCTGGCTGGCTTTGCCCTTCTCAACAAGTGCCCTCGACGTCCAGATGGTCAACCTTTGGCCATTTCTAGCATCTCCGATCATCTTAAAGGATGGAAGGAGAAAATTAAAAAGGAGCCTCCAGCTGGTAAACTGAATTCTATAATAGATTTATATCAAATAACTAGAATACTAATTAAAGTATAAAATAATATTAGGAACAACAGGAAATAAACAGAAAGAGAGAACGAGCAGTTATCCTTTTTTGGAACACTTTCTGGCTCTTTGGATCGATGCAGCCGAGTACGCCAAAGTTCAGGTTACAGACGACATAATTAGGGCTCAAGCAAGAATTATTCAGGAAGAGCTAGTGAGAGCTAATGTCGATGAGCCATATGATGGGTTCGAGACGTCAAACGGTTGGCTTCAACGATTCAAAAATCGGCACAATATCGGTAGACTACGAACACATAGGCAATCCGGCGATATTGATCAATCAGCTCTACCAGCCCAGCGCCAGCATCTCAAACAAAAACTAGCCACATTTTCACCTGAGAACCATTACAATTGCGATGAAAGTGGTCTTGTTTTTAACAAGCAGCCACAGTCCTCAAATGTCCGACTAGATAAAGGTAAACAGTTAAGAGGAGGAAAGGAGGATAAGATTAGAATAACTACTTTTCATATAGTTAATGAGACAGGAACGGATAAACGCAAGATTTGGGTTATTGGACGAGCAGCAAAACCCATGCCTTTTCGTCAAAATCGCATCAATCCAGCTAACTTGCCGGTCATTTATCGTCATAACAAAAAGGCCTGGCTATTAACCGGACTCTGGTACAAATTTCTAAGGAAATTGAACGATGAAATGCGAATCACTCGGCGGCATATAGCACTTGTGACGGACAACTGCCCTACTCATCCACAACCTACGTCACCGCCGATTGACTACAAAGGACCTCCGCCTCCTATCCTCAGTCATGTTACTTTAGTTTACCTACCGCCCAACACCACATCCTTTTTGCAGCCATTGGATGCTGGAATTATTGCCTCTTTCAAGGCAGCCTATCGACGACGTTATGCTCAATTCATGGTTGAGCATTTTAATTCCTATGGAAAAGCACCCTTGAAGATTGATATTTTACAGGCAATCTACCTAATTGCGGATTCTTGGGATGCTGTCACAGAGGACATGATTGTTCACTGCTGGAAAAAAGCGGCGATCACTGAGTTCTCCGAAGGCAGCTGTGGGCTTTCTAGTCAAATTAATTGCGATACACCATCCCCGATCGAACACTTCATTAGCCTTGAACAGCACGAATGCCAACAAGCTCTGAGTCTATTGAGAGAGCAAGGAGTTGACCAGATTGAGTGCCTTGAAGATTTCCTCAATGATGAGGAGAGATTGGATTCACCTTTGGATAGTTTTTTTCCAGATGTCCGTGCTATTGTCCATGATGGTGTTGCTGAAGGGATCTTATTGCACACATCGGAGAGCTTAGATCGGAGTGAGCCAGAAAGTGACAGTGACGATATTTCCACACTTCCAGTAATTGGAATAGAGACCGCCACACATTATAGCTTTGAGCTTCAACGCCTTCTTCAAACTCTTCCGGTTACTCACCTACCCCTTCTTGGCCGTAATAGTCTCTCTGTGGAAGAACTGATAACATCCACCTACAAGCTTCATTCTGCCCTTCTTCAGTATTCTCTTCTTTATCCTACATCTCTTCAGATCTGATTTCTAATAAATCACAGTTACCGGAATACTCGGCAAACTCAGCAGACAACAATTCACCAATTCTTTCGTCCCACCGTTCCAGCCTCCCACCAACCCCACTCCCATGATATCAGATCTCAGGAGCTAGGACCACGGGGACAAGGGAGAGTGCCTGCAGTCACGGTAATAGGAGGAGAGGAGGAACCAATTCTCTATATTGATACAAGCGGTGAGGAAGAGGAGGATGAAGAACATGCTACCTGCAGACCTACAAAGTGGAAGGCAGGTGGAGTCAATTCTGCATATGAATATTTATTGAATTAAGCCTTCTCAAGAGAATGCGAATAAAAGATCTTAACTTTTTCTTGGAAATTTCTATTTTATTCATGATACCCCGTTGTTCCGGACACCCCGTTATCCCGTATGAAATCCGTGAAATTTGGCCATCCGGGATAGCGAGGTGCGACTGTACACTAAGTGACCAAAGCTGATAGCAACCCCATGGGCGGTCCCCACAGCTCAATTGGCTGATATCCAATGGGAAATTGAGGCAACCCAACAAGGATTTTATCGCCTAAGAGCTTATAGAATTCATGGGGGGTTCGCATGCTTCTCCATGATACTCATACGATTTTTTATACTTTATTTTACTCATTTTTGGCATTGGTTTTTTTCCTCAGCGTCCAATACTGAATCAGGAGGTACAGGAATTTGGGGAGAGGAGGCCTCGGGGTGCACATCGAACGCTAGACTACAAAGAGTAGACTGCTGAAAGAAAGTGTCAAAACACTGCAAAACAACATATCAAACTAGCAATGTATGGTGGAGAGAGGGGCGAACAGGATCCGTGAATTTTAGAAGCTTTTAATTGGCGGAATTGGTGTTTTTCGGCATATATTTCCTGTCTGATACCAGTAAGTTTTGTTAGTTGAACTGCCGAGCACTGGGTCGGGAGTGTAGTCAACTTTATCCGCCGGTTAGCGTCCTCTGCGGTAGAGAACCGTGGCCCAGCGAGATCGTCAAGAAAAACGCCAATTGATAGTCAGAACCGAGCAGGTTTGGAAGGCTAAGAGGCGCGACAGGGACAATAGAGTGGTATCGTAGGTTTTATCAACTCAAGATGCGCAAGGTATTATGTGATTACAAATCTAGCACTTTGGCCTTAGCCTATATAGTTGATGGCATTTAAGGAACCTAAGAACTCTAGCACCGGTATCACACCCCTCTCCCACCATGAGGACAAGTCCCTTCAGAAAAATTATGCTGCGATTCCTCTTCCTTCTAATCCCCACCATGTCTACGGAGACATGCCCCTCTCCCACTATGAGGTCCAGATTAGTCCCTTCAGGAAACGTTATGCTGCTCATGCTATTCCTCCTTCTAATCCCAACCGTGGCTGCGGAGGAAAACATCTATCGTTGCGGTGATCGCGTCAAACAACTGGTAGTAGACGGTTCCCTTCCCTCGGAAGATATCTACTGGGGGCCTGTAAGGGGTCTTTCAAATAAGGCCGAAAATCCAGTTCTCCTCCTAACGCTCGCTGCATGCGAGAAGCACTGCGGCAGCGGTTCCACGTTGCACTGCTGGGAAACAACTGCGGATACGGTCACGACCTGGGTACTCCCGCTGGTGGGCCTCGTTCTACAGGCCCCTTTCGAGAGCAACAACTTCTGGGGAACCCTGTGGCTTGTATTCCGGTGGCTGGGCTCGCCGATCGTTTCTATGATGTACATCCTCTGGAACATCGGAGCCACAAGGAAGTGCGCCATTATGCTCGACATGAGCATAGTGATAGGAAGCGAGAACCCTGAGACACCAAGCAGTTTTTCCAGATTGCGAGACTCGCTTTACCTGCTGAGCGTGGTCAACCAATACCAGCTTAATATATGGCCCGGGCTACGAGAACAAGACATGGAGTATATCCTTCGCGTAGGCTTGTTCGACACGGAGCCTGAGTCCACGGAAATGAGGGCCAGAGCCGCTGCAAACATCCGCCGGGAACGCCGTCGGGGAACCGTCCAATCCCTGATATCACTAGGGTGGTTCTTAGTTGCATTGTCCATCTCGATAAGCAAGGCCTTTGGAGATCTGGGGGAGGACCCAACCGCTTCCCATCTGGCTCTCGGCCTTCTAGTGTGCTGGCTCCCGGTTCTCATCGCCGCGGCAATAGTGGACCGAAACCCGATGGACGCCGGCTATGTTAAAAAGCAGTTGAACAAATGCCTCCTAGGGATTGTGACCGCAACACCCTTGGAGATTGTTATGCCCCAGGGAGTCACCAAGAAAGGCATTCTAGGAAAGTTTGCGGGCCAAGGGCGCGTCCACTGGCACTACGGTGCGGCCTCCTCAATTCTCTGCACACTGGAGACATTGCCTGATGTGAAGCGCGGCTGGTTGGCTATATATGAAGAGAACCCCAAACTGGTGACCGCAAGAATCCCCACTCCCCCGAGATGCCTGGGGTGCCACCATAGCCAAGAATGGCAGATGATAGCCTCCTTGGCCCTAGTCTGCTCCTGCAGTATTGGTGCCTTCCTCCTTAGTTACTTTACGCCGACCGTCGGCCTAAGCTGCAGATCCGCGGGTTACATGACCTTCGGTGTGAACTCCTGTGGGTGTCTATTTATAGAAATAGGTGCATGGGTATTCCTGGGGAAGGGCAAGAGACAGAGAGTAGTGCGGTGGGTCCTGCTCTTCTGTGAATTCACCAACTTCTGTTGGTTGATTTGCATCATCACGGCGCAGACACTTGGGATCTACAATAGGTGCTACTGTAAGTCTAGTATTTTAGGCGGCGGTGGCGGGTATGTTGACTTTGAGGGTGCAGAGTACTACAAGGCCTTCCACCTTGAGTATAGCTGGATGGTGGGCACACTCATCACATGCGTGGTATCAGGAATTGGGCTTCTGTTCATTGTGGAGCAATGGTGCTCCCAGAGCGTCTTGTGGACTCAAGATTGGGACTCGGCTATGGATGGACTCCTGTGGGTGAGGAGGTGGAAGTGGGCCACTGCAGGGCCTAGGTGGATGGGTGCCCTGGTAGGCGAGTGCATCGTGAGTGCTGGGTGCTGGGTTAGTACTGTTCTGGGGTTCGAGAGGGGTGTGGAGCATCCTAGTTTGTCTTGGACTTGGTGATATTTCTCTTTTATATTCTATTACAGCCCTCTCCAACTCACAAATAAACGGGAAAACACTATCTTTTCCCGAAAATGCCCTAAGACGTGCTCAGAATGCCACCAAACCCTTAGTTTTCCACTTTTACGGCGAAGGACTTGAGTAGCCGGAGTAGACATGCACTTAGCAAAATTCTGACCAGGATTATTGCGCTCCTTAGGCCATCCAGTGCAAGAACACCCCTCGTCCCCATCCCCAATCCCCTGGTAACCTTTGCGAATTCGTTTGAGAAACTCTGCGGTAACATGATGAAGCCCACACCCCTATCCACCCTGGATCCGCGGCCATCCGAGATAAGGGTGATTTGTCCTAGACGCAAAGCTGAGTCAGTGAGAGTGAGAATTCTTTCCCGGAGCCTTCGAGGGATTGGGGGCCAAACCCCCCCCCCCCCCTGACCTGATACTTTTTACCTGTAGAGAGTTTTCTGTCCCGAAAGCGCCGGTTTTGTTTCTATATCGGGGTCGCTTGTAAATTTCACAGACCGAGCGTGTTTGTTACGTGATATCTTCCGTCAAGTGCTAATTTCCTGAATATACATGTACTCGGTACTATGATATATCCCGTGCGCTCCAACTCCCGTACGTAAATTAAGATGCGCTCTCCCGCACCCTAATAACACTAGGGGGAAAAAAGAAAAGAAAAGAAGTTTGTGTTCTCCCTGGATTAGTTTGAAGCTGATAAGTTACCCGATAGTATACCGGTAGGGCCAGACAGCAAACCAAGCCAAACACCCGACACCCGACATGCGCCCGCAATTGATATAAATGAGGAGAAACTGCGCTACCGGCCCAGGCAAATGGCACGGATGTCAAGACTGCCGCCCATAACCACATTCTTCATAACCAGATATCCAGATATGATACCTCATTCTAGCAGGTGATCCAAGACGGCCACCCTCTGAAAGCCAACTGCACTCCAGTTGCTGAAACATGCCTCGGAATTATCGACACAACACATCTTTCGAAGCTTTGTCAATTAGCTTGCGATATTTGGGTGGGCATTATCGGTGACTTAAAACTTTGCGCTACGGGGGTCCGCTAAGTTAAGGAACAAAACTAACGTGATCCACCTACCGCTACCAGCAGTGTGGATGCCCCGAAAAAAAAAATAGTTGATTTTAGGTTAACCCGCAGCATGATTTACTCCTTGCTCCCGCGCGAAGATATTCTCTCCTGGCACTCGGGCGTCGAAATAAAGTAACTGAATTGGTGAACCATGCAGAAAACAGATCTCCATTTTAGCCGGAAATAATTAAGCGAAGGCACTCCCCTTGCCAATTTAGAATGATCATTAATACCGGTGTAGGGGGCGGCGATAGTATAGGATAGTTTGGCAGTCACAGGGGGGGGGGGGGGGTACGCACGCACAATGGTTGCACAGTAGTAGATAGCTTGGCACGCACAACTTTCGGTATTTGGAGGAGGACTTTTATGTTTGCGCGGTAGATAGAGAAAACAACCTTCCTCACGGCTCTCAATTCAATCACCAGTCCTCACCTAGGAGGTTGGCCCTTTTTCCTTAGTTCTCTTTCTGCTTATCAGCTCTATTATCCTTTATCTACCCAGAGTCAAGTCTACCTGCTCAATCTCCCATGATAGCAAGTAGGGTTCCGGTCATCTTTCCCTTCACGGGCGTGCATGGTCAACACACCATCCATCAAGGGGTAGGCAACGAATAGACCCCACACCGGTACTGTACTCGAGGACAAAAGAAAGGCTTGTTTCAACGGCATGGTCGCTTAGCGTCTTTCAAAGTGGGGGGGACTTTGGCACTGTTATTGGTTGATAGATACGGAGTATACCGTACTGTATTTTGCCTCGGAGGCTCTCTAGCGCTTCTGCCCAAGCCAGTGATCACGGGTCGGCTCTTGAAACTCAGGTGAAAAAAGCCCCAGACACTAATCGCTGGGTGCCCGTACCGTAATAACAGTTTAATTGGGGTTAATGCTATCGCTTGGGTGCTTTTAGGGCTGAAGTCACCGGATGTGTGGATAAGGTAACATGGGAGCCGAATAGAATCGCAACTACGTATGATATGTGTCAACTATCTGAATACAACCACATATAGATATACGATTATCATGTATCCTGTATAGCATCACCTCTAAATGCTCCCCCAATCCTGATGGTTCCCATTCGCACCTTGTAATGTGGCAACAAAAAAAAGAAAAAACATGAAGGGGTATCCTCTCCTCTCCCACATCCATTCCGATCGTCTCCCAAATACCGAGAACCATTGTCGATGATCCACGTCACGATAGCCTCGTGTAAAGCCTCCAAGCCACCTGCCCACAGATCCCCGTCGAGGGTGTGACAATAAGGGGTAAGAGCTACAGTATCGGTTACGCAAGGCTCGTGAGTGTTGGAAGGACTAAGCACTCATCCACATGGCGTCTATACCGGTATCACCATGACACCACCTTCCATCCGCAAGCCCAATTTCCATCGGCCGAACTTGACAGCCCTACAATTTACCCACCGAAATAATATCACACTCTCCAAGTAACATTGGTGATGTTACATGCCCCCCCACCCCAGCAACGCGCACAACTTACTCAACTCCAATTCTTTCCATTGGCCTGCGGAACTTGAACACTGTTGGTGTGGCGGCGGGCGAGGGGAATGAGGTTCTAGCCTGGCTATCCCCGATGAGCCCCACACTCACATCAAGACATTCGAATTCGCGGGGCCGGCAGGGTGGGGCAATGGTTACTGGAAACAGAGAAACTTCAAAGGTGGTGCGATAGTGCTGGAAAGGATGGATCTGAGCACCCTGCCTCATTCTCCCGCGATCATCCGGCGGCTAGTAAGATAGATTTTAGGCGGGGGTGAAAATATTGGTGATCCTGAAGTTCGCTTTTAATCATGAAGATAAAGTTATGTGAACAGGAGTTGAACTAGGTGTAGTTTAGAATCAAAGATGAATTTCTACGCTTCGAGCTCACACTCTCTGCCCTATAGCGCGGGGCGGATGGAGGGGAGGCGAATGAGGGCGAAGCGCAACTGAAATAGAGGAAACGATGAACTATCGGTGGGCGATTGGTAAGATCGGTAACTGGGGACATTATTGGGCATCATGTACTAGTATCTCTGAGGGCGGAACATAACTCCGCGGACCATTGCGAATGAACGGCATGTATGGAATCATTTCAACTGGACCTGGGGCCCGAAAGAAGCACCTGGGAGGCAAGCAAACAGTCTGCCGAGCGCAATGCGGTCCCCGGTGGGGATTATGTCAAGGGCATTGCCTCTGAAGTCTGTATCAAACCAGGAGAAAAGAAGCATTCGGGGGTTGGAGAGACGAGGATAAAATCATCAGATTGATTCCCAATCCTACCGGGGGCGTTCAGGCTAGGCCTTTCCTGGTCCTTTTTGGCAGGCCCTTCCTAATCCCACGGACGCATCCAGGATTGCTAGCGCACATTCTAGGGGCGCACGCCACAAGAATCAAAAGAAAAATTACGGTTGCCAACAAGGGAATTTCACTTTGAATATTGGTGCTCGGGCATCTGCTGGAGTACCGTATCATACCGTAAAAACTCTTGAAATTGGCCATCGCCGGTCGCCCACGGATCCCCCCGATCAGAGACAAACACACCAAGAAGAAATAGTATTATCTAGAGAGAGTATAGCTTGAGGAGGTTGAGTTTGCTGGACCTCATTAACTGCTATTCGTCATTTTGTT